TTCAATATGCCCTGAACCCAAAAAAAAAAAAATATTCACTCAAGTGTACAACTTTTCTGCCACCCCCTTCCCATTCACAACTGTGGTGGTTTTTTTTCTTTCTTTTCATTTTTTAATATCTCTTTTATATATATATATATATTATTTTTCTATTACTTCTAATTTTTATAATGTTCTTTATTGAAAGCTTTTTATGATGTGTGATTCTTTAACATGGGAAAAGAAATTTATCATCAGTGGCCAACATATATAATATTTTTCAAGAAAATTTTTCCATGAGCTGTTTTTTTTTTATATAATTGTTGATGAAAATATCACTTATCTAGGCATAAAAAGTTAGAAATTAAAATCTTTTTGCATAAAGATATAATGAAAACTTAATCATTACCTTCTCTCCCCTCCCCTTTTAAACCAAACAAATTATCATAAAAAAAACCCCTCTCCTCTCCTTTCTTCTAATAAAACCAAACAAGATGGCATAAAAACACTACATTTTCCTTCCCTCCTCTTGAACCAAACATATTCTAAAGATACATTTTTTTTGTTTTGGGTAAAACCTAAAGATACACTTTTATTACTCACTCAAATTATAATAGGATTTGGTTATCGTGCTCATTACTTAATAACATTTAAATCATCTAGGTAAAAAATTTGGACGATCCGAATTTATAGATTTTATTTTTTATTTTTATTTTATATTTATTATAAAAAATATAAATTTGAATAAGCTTATCTTATTGTCAACCTGAACAATATAGATTTAATTTGAATGTCCAAAATATATATAGATAGTTAATTAATAAATTTTTTAAAAATAATCTTAAATTAGATCATTCATATCAAATCTATATTGTCTAAGTTAATAATAAAATATATTTATCAAAATTTTATATTTTTATTTTAATAACTATAAAATCAAACTAGTAAATTTGGATTGTCCAAATTAAAAATATAAATTATTCAGATTGATTATTAAGTGATGAATATTATAATGCTCATTATTAGATGAGCACTGAAAGTATACACAACTACAATATATATATATATATATATATAAACACTCTCACACTTCTTTCACAATTCTTCCTTATTCTTTCTCTTTCATACTTTCTTCCTTACACTCACATTTAAGGGCATTCAACATCAATTCGAACCTATCACAGCAAATCAAACCAAATCAAGCCAACATGAACCAATTAAAATTGATTGTGAATGAGGTTTGGTTTGATTTCTATTTTGACAAAACCGATTAGTTCGGTTTGGTTTAAGTTTTTGCTTTGAAAAATTTGAACCAAACTAAACTAAATCAAATCTTATTATACTTATTAAATACATATTTATAAAATTTTCAATTTTTTTTCCTTTTTCAAGTTTAATTATTTATAAATCATTAATAAAAATAAGTTACATTTAGCTAAATGTTATTTATAACTATTTAAGGTAATTTTTAAATTTCATAATCAAGTATTTTAAAGATAATACATTAATTTTTAATGGTTAAATATGTTAATTAATTGTTAAAAAACATTTTTTATACTCAATATTTTTCTTTGCAAATAATAATTAATAGTTAAAAATTATTAATAAATATGAATATATATTGGAGACTATGGAGAATATCTTATTAAAAAAGTTCAAACTTAAATCAAACTACTCAAAAACTAAACAAAATTGATTAAAAAAAAATTGAATAAATCTCAAATTATAATAAACTGATTGATTTGTTTTGATTTAATTTTTTTAAAAATTAAATCAAACTAAGCTTAAGAACGCCCTTACTCACACTCCTCTCCTTTCTCTCACTCACGTCACACATCACTCACTTCCCTAATTGCCTTTCTTTTTCTCTTCTTCTCTTTGCTGCACACTCAACAGTTACCCTGTTTACCTATTTATACTTGTTTTAAGTCTGTCGTATCGTTCCTTCTTCAACCTGATCGATCCTTCTTCTACCGCCATTCAAGGTCAGTTTCCTGTTCTATATATTTTTCTAGATTTGTCATCTATAGTTTGTAATTTCAAAGCATTCTTCAATCCTCAGCCACCAGCTTGCTTCCCAAAAATTCTAGATCCTTCCCTTATTTATTTAATTAGTCAGTGATTGTTAATAACTCAAATCTCTTTCTCTCACGAAACTAAGTATGTGTATGATTTTTAGTTTATATTTGATAAAAATTTATATGAAGAATCTAGTTATTTATTTATTATTTTTTTTTCTAGAGATCTAATTATTTGTTAGATTTGATAAAATTATATTATGGGTATAGTTTGAATATATTTTTGAAAGTTAATAAAATTGTCCCTAAATTTGATATTGATGTTAATACCCGACCCATTGTCTACTCAATATCTGCCACGTTTCAACTTCCATAGTTTTCACCCCATACAGTGCATCCAATTTACATATGCTGCTCTCACATCCTCCTTTACCAAACAGTCACTCTCCCCTTGCCTTCATAAAAAGTCCTCCGCTCTCTCTCTTTTCCCTCACACCACAACACACACAACCACCATCACTTGATCCCTACAACAATCGCACTAAAATGAAAATGCAACAATATCACTTCCCCGCCTCAGTTTTGCTGCTGCTTATTACCGCCACAGTCTCCTCGGCCCAGCTTTCACCGGCTCAGCCTCCCTGCTTCAGGCTCCCACGAGTCTCCAATCGCCGCCCCTGCCATGCCAGCTGCAGCCCCAAGCCTGAATACCGTCCCCCTGATACCCTCGTCACCCAATGCGGCCCCCGCGGTCACTGTTCCTAAATTCTTCGCCCTAATCTGTCTACTCAAGACTACTCAATTGATCAGCCAACTGAACTCTCAACTGACCGTTTTCGCCCCTGCCGACGCCGCCTTCTCCAGACTCAAAGTAGGCTTTTCTGAATTCTCTCAGTGACAGGCAAAAAGTGGAGCTCCTACAGTTCCGCACCAGTTCTTCGTTCATTTCCATCTCCAACTTCGATGCTCTCACCAACCCGGTCCAGACGTAGGCCGGCGACGACCCCACAAAGTTTCAACTAAATGTCACCACTTATTGCGGTAGCCAAGTCAGCATGACCACTGGCGCCGTTAATTCCTCTGTCACGGGTACGGTCTATACAGACAGCAAGCTTGCCATTTATCAGGTGGACAACGTGCTTCTCCCACTTGATATTTTCCTTCCAAAGGCCAAGGCGCCGGCGCCGGCTCTTTCCGCAGGAAAAGGGGATTCTCCCCAATCTGATGAAGTCAAGTCGTCTTCAGATGCTGCGAGTGGTGACGATGAGGATAATGATGATAGAGATGATGCCGTTTCGGATGTCTGCGGATTCTTCGAGTTTTGACATGCAAGTTATTGGGCTCGCTCAGCTTCTCGGAGTGGTCTCCTAGCTGCGGCCGTGATGTGAAAGTGGAAAGTCAAGCTTTCGACGTTTTTTTTTTTTTTGGTACTGTTTCATTTTGAGCTGGACTCTACGGTAGCGATGGATTTTTGAAGTTTGAACGCCTTTGCTGTGGATAATTGCTTGTTTTGGAGTCCAATTATTGTTAATTATCTAAATGCAATTAAGGGTCTGGTGTTTTTTTCCAGTTTGTCGAGTTTTGAATTCTTTTATTTGGATAGTAAGAGTTGCGATTTTTTTTTTTTTAAGTAGCGATGTCGTTATCGTTCTTTGAGACGTAATGACGCCGTAATGTACATAATTGGGCATTCATTTTCCGTTCGATGATCACAAAGTATACTGCCCTAGCAACGGATGAGGCATTACTGCATGCAATGACTAATCAATTGTATCAAAGTAATAATTATCTAATATCACTTTTGTCTGTTTATAACAACAGTATCCGCTTAAAATTTTTTTATGAAATTAAGAGTGTGTACTTTTCCAAAAAATTAAGAGTATGTTTGGATAGCACTTTTCAAACTTCAAATGTACTTTTAGGAGATGTTTTAGGCAACATTTATAAGAAGTAAAAAATTATTGCATTTACAAAAACATATCCGAAACAGAAGAACAAACCAACGCTTGTAGTGTCGGGAAGTTTTTTTTTTTTTTTCTTCAAAGGGAGTGGAGTGAAATGGTTCAGGATGACCTTCAAGCCATCATTAGCAATCTTAAACCTATTTTTTCCAACTCAATTTGAGGCATGAAAAATGATATGATATGAAATAAATAACGTTATTATAAAATTAGTCTCATCCTTCTCAACTACTCTCCTTCTTTCACTCCGTCTTGTCCTAAAATTGAAAAATATAAGGATATTTAACTCAAATATATTATTTTTATAATAATTCTTAAATAATGATTAAATATAATCGTTTATTTCTCCAATCAAAACTCAGACAACGGAAATATTTCATTCCGTTTCACCTCATTCTACTTTGTAATGATTTTATTATATTTGGCATGTGAATGTCTCTGATTCCGCAGAATAGACTAAATCCTACGAAGGAAAAGACGACAAAATTGAAAACAATTTAAAATTAAATTATTAAAAAGAGACAGGGTCCATCGTGGTTCACGGTCCTCACAGTTGAATAGAAACTAGAAAAGGCACTGCACAAACAAACAGGAAGGAAGCAAAAAAGAGAGAAAGAAATACTTTTTAAATTCCACTCAAAGACAGGTACAGAATGACAGTGGAGGTACCTGTGTGTAATTCTTCTAAACTCAGTAATTAATAAACTAATTAATTGTTTTGAGTCGCACTTGTTTGTTATTTTCTCCAAAAAAAAAAAACTCACATTAATAGTCAGGTACGGCGGTGTAAAAGCTTCATCACGATCACCGTTAGAGCAAGAGCTAGGTAAAATAAAAAAGAGACCTACTGCGTCTGCATGCCTTGAGTGCACCAAAATTCACCGTCTGATTATCATTTTTTGGACTCATCCTTTTTTATTGTCCAGTCACTTCCAACATGCAAATGGCCCCCACCTCCCTGAGCTCTCACGAGACCTTCTATTACATCTCCTTCACGTTCGACTAAACATATATTTTTTGTTTTTTAATTAGAACACCCATAAAATCAATAAGCTGAGACCTGCGTACTTGAAGAGATAAAATTCGGGATAAAATAGTTGGAGGTATACTAAAAATATAATAGTTACATTCTCTCTTGTTTATCTCCGCGTCCGTGGCCGAGTCGGTCGACTCGCTTGCTTCCAGCCTCAAACGCGTGCCTGGCTACCATAGGGCATAACTAGCTTCCCTAAGCTGCTTCACTAGTCGAAGGTCATAACTTATAATGGATCACTGATGCGCACCGTACTGGCTGAGGTCTAAGGCCGAGGCCGAGCCTTGTGCATTGAACTTGGCTAACTCTTGCTCCAGAAAGGGTCCGCTCATGGAGTCCCCTCCAACTCCCAGAAAGTCTCTGGTCAGACCTAGCTCCTCCTGGTTCGAGCTTGAACGCAAACCCTTGGCGGTGCTAGTGAACGGTCTTGAGCTCGAGTCATTTAACAGAAACGTCCCACCTCCAAGGTTGGTACTTTTGATATTCGGTTGCTTGAAAATTTTGTGAAGGTCAACGTTGGTGTTGCTGGACCAGTTCAGAACAGCCGAGCCCATCAATCCAAAGTGGTCGATAGAGTTGAAGGAGGAGGAAGTGTTGACATTGTTAGTGGTAGTTGATCCAATTTGAGCTGCTTTCTGCAGGAGTGCAGTGGCTGACATGTGACTCGTCCCTCCTGCTTGTGGGTTCTGAATCTGGTGACTGGAGTATAAAGCGCCTATGCTATGCGACAACTCTACTTTGTTTTCTTCTGGCTCTTGCTTCAGCCGTGTGGCACTATTCCAGACACGCACAGATTGTTGGCACTAGTAATTGATGCTTCTGCGTTAACCCACTGTGTCTGCGTTGATGTCCCAAACATGTCCATCCCTTGAACTAAATCTGGAAAGCGGGAATTCAAATTGCTTCCGACGCTGAGTGATGATTGAGCTGACCAAAATTCCCCAACGCTCCTTCAGCACCCCCAATTTCTGGATGAAGCCCTGGAAATATCTCTGGGATTATCCGTGGTGTTTGGTGGTTCATGCTCATCAAATGATCATTTCTCAAGTTAGTAAAAGTTGAAGGTACTGTTGTTATTGCTCTCGCACTTTCTTCGGCCAAGGCATCACAGAAGGCTCTGTGCGTTATGAAGCTGTCCTTCCTGATTTGTGGCATACAAGGACAACAAACATTATTTATCAGTAAATACCGATGAAATGTGTTTTTTTAATTTGTCCCGAACCTAAAAAGTTCGTGATTCAAGTTATTATTTTCCTTTTAAAAACTCGTTAATCCTTAGAGTAAATATGTGTAAAAGTTCATGCCTTGTTTTGTCTTAGCCAGTTAAATTTTTTCAGGAACTGAATCTTGTTTGTCCAACTATTTAGTACTTGGTTTAAGTATTTTTTTTTTTTAACAAATCAAAACGAATAATTTCCCGAATCCTCCTATTCTGCATGAGCATTAAATTCAAACCATGGACATATTTAATATCACATTGAATTCTATGAGAATTATCGAATCATAAACAAATAGTTTCTATTTGAACTATACCTGGAGAAAATGGTGCCACAGTCACATTTATATTCTCTAGTTCCACAAATCTTACTGTGGGCTTTCCAATCGGACTGAACCGCATACTTCTTGGAGCATTTTTCGCACTTCCACTTCTTCTCGCCGTGCTTTCTGCTGTAGTGTTTTTTAATCCCGGTGAGGTCTCCGAGGGCTCTGGAGGGGTCGTGGTGCACGCAAGTCTTCTCAGGGCAAACATACACCTTCTTCCTCACTTCTTTGTTGGTTCTCTGGCGGAGCTTCCACGGAAGATTATGCCCGCGGCGGTGCAGCTGCAAATTCTGGTCTCTCTGGAAGCCCTTGTTGCAGATTTCGCATACGAAACGGTTCGTCGCCATGAGAGACTTGGGTGACAGTGCTATCACTTCCGCGCCCGGATCTGCTTTGGAAATCTCACGGAGTGAAATTAAAATAACTCCAAGAAAGGGTTTGTGCATGTACAGGAAAAATATGAATTTACGAACTTGCCTGGCGTTCCCGGGAGATTCCTCCTTTTCTTGACAGGATTTGAATTAGGGTTAGGGTTCGAGCTCGGGTCGACCAAGGTGTTATGGGCAGAAGCAACAGAAATGGATTCTACGGGAATCATGTTTCGAAACTGAATTTTGAGGAACCAAAGCGGGAATAGGGGTACACTGAACCAGCACTCTTGAAGCTCTGGAGGTGGAAGGGGAGGAGCACTGGCGGCTGGTTGAAGCTAACCAATTTGTGTCTTAAGAAAAGAAGAAGAAGAAGAAGAAGAAATATAGGTCTCTTTTGGTGCTTGCTAGTGCTGGAGATGGATGCGGCGATATTGAAGAAGAGCAGAGATATTTTGTAAGAAATTAAAGTGGGTTGACATGTGAAACGCGAGGAGTGCACAAGAGGATTGACTCGAGGCCTGGCTTGACGATGAAATGCGATCCAAAATTCTAACGAGGGAACTGAGAGAAGGGAATATTTCTCTCTCTCTCTCCCCCCTCGATCCTTCTCCTTATCTAACACGGCTGCTGTGGAAGTCGGTGAACCGTAGACTCAGATGGACCATTCTCTCTCTCTCTCTCTCTCTCTCTCTCTCACTCTCACTTTCGCCCTCGGCGGATATATATGGAATATAAGGATAGCCCAGTGGGAACAATGTGATTCTGTTCAATTAGCTACAGTAAATGAACAAGGCGCTGTGTTAATGAATTAAAAATTAGAGCAGATTCAGGTCAGTTTCAACTTTCAACTTTGGAAGGGAGAGGGGTGAGTGGGAGTGAGAAAATAGAAGAAAAGGAGAGAGAGTAAAAGCGAGGGAGCTTGAGGGACAGCTAAGAGGAATGATGAAGGCATGATTGAAGTAAGAGAGGGGAGCCCCGTGAGCAGCGAGGCCTGGCTGGGCAGGAGTGGGGGCCCACACAAAAAGACAGGAGATGACTGCTACCGCTTGACATGTCCACCACCCTCCCTCACACTCCCACATTTGCCCCCACTCCACACCCCATCTCTTACTACATCTTTTCATTCCAATTCAATGATTTGAAACACGAACTGAACATTAGATTAAAAAAAAGTAATAGATTGTAATTTTTATGATTCAATTGATTAGATTGATGGTTAAATTAATATATAAAAATTAAATAAAAAATAATACTTATCTACATAAATATATAAATAAAATTTTAATTTGTTAATGATATTTAAAATTTTAATGTCAAAGTATGGACGTTGGACCGTCAAAACAAGAGATAAAGACACATCGACACAGCTTACAATCTTGATGCAAAATGCAGGAGCTAAAGGTATGTTGTCATGTCATGACTCATGAGCTTATAATTTTATGTCAAACATTGGATTGCTAAAGTTGGAACAGAGATTGAAAAAAGATTAAAAATTGAGCTTTAGTTATTAAAGAGAATCAAAGATTAGAGAAGAAAACTAAAAATTAAAAAAGATAAATCATGAATTTGGACGGCTGTGCCTAAAATTCTTTTTTGTTTGTTTGAGATTTTGACGTGCTTTGACTTGCTTTGGCCCACTTTAATTTTTGAGTTAAATTTATTTTCTTAAAATTGTCTTGATTAACTCCAGTCCAAATGTCCAAATGATTGAACTAAACTGTTTTGTTGAGCGATTAATGATCAAACTAGTAGAACTGTTTGGTTTGGTTTGGTTTGAATTTTGAAATGCCGCACAACGTACATCTTCACTCTTATGCCCTTCCTCTTAATTTCACAATTCAAATCCTCTAGAGAAATTATTATAATGCATTATCATATAGTTGCCATTTAACTTGTTATTTCATTTATTTCTAGTCATTGTTTAGGTGAGAGGATTTTTGACACTAAATAGAATCTATATCCCCCTCTCTTTTCAGTCCGCCCTTTCTTCCTTCTTTCATTATATTTCTCATTTTCTCCTTCCCACTCGTGAACCATACTATATGTCATCTACATACTTATATCAATTATCAGAAAATCAAATACACACGTACCAAATCAATATCTCTTACTTAGTACATGATCCCACCAACATTAGAGACGAGAATGGTCCCCGACCAACAGCCCCTCTATACATCTTTCTCTAAACCATGGCAAATTAAATCATGTATATTGTTTGCAAGTTATCAACAGTTATGTCTTATTTTACAAACTTTGTATAATCACGAAACACGTGTTTGATTTAAACTAAACCATCCGCAGTGAATTACATTATGCATGTGCATAATTGGTTATCGTGATTTCATATATAGATTCTATTATATTGATTGGAACCTTGATATCATCTTGCAAAAGCAAATTCAAAATAAATTCCTTTTCATAAACCATACACACACGGGTAACCATTGATTTGTTTCTTTTCTTTTAACATGTTTAGTTTAGGGGGGCGGCGTAGGATGTGGTCACCTCTGGATTAATAAAAAAATTAACAGCCCTCTAAAGATTAAGGTGCACGTAGGAATGATTTGAGAGAAAATGACTGTATTTATAAACATCATGCAATGTGTTTATTTTTCATTCAAATCATTGACTAAAAATTAATTAAGGAAACGAAGAGGGCGCCCTCAGTTTAGAGAGGAGAAGAAATAATTATTACTTAAATTAAATCAGATGTTGAATTGTGCTGCGTACAAAGTACCCAGAGTCCGAGATCGTTGAAGATTCAGCTTCCACACATGCATGGCACATATTGGAAAGTCGGTTCAAACGTTTAGAATTTTCTCGTCTAAAACAGTGGCTACTATATATAAGTGCCCCCACCTTCGCGTTTCTGGTTCCCATGTCAATTTTTCAGATAGAGACGTCTTCTTTGAAATTCTTTCCACTAATTAACACGCTTGTTTCGATTATCTCCTATCCCAACCCACCTACCTCCTCTAATATGAAAACGCTGCGATGCTTAACATATATAAATCTTTTCAAGTGACCGATCCTCAGATGGAAAAAGCATTCTTCAATTAATAATTAAGCTACCCGCCGTATAATTAATTACTAGATATTCCGATATCCCATCCCCCTCTTCTGAATATGTATAAAATTCCAAAGAGTGACACATACAGATGTGCCCCCTCTATATATGGTAGGGCTTTAAAGTCAATTTCTGAATCGTAAGACAAAATATATATTTGAAAGCGCATCTGCTCACATTTATTGACTTGATCATGTTATTCATTTCGACAGTAACCGCGGTTGGAAACGTCATTGTCATACGCCAAGTACCTCAACAGTAGTCGATTTGCTAATAAACTACTTAACTAGCTGCTTCAGTATAATTCACTTCAGTCTAATGGCATAAATCAAGGCTGGACATAAATTGCCAATCATCAGACAACAGAGGGATGCACAGGTTGTTATAAAATAATAGTTGAGAATAAAGATGTGTGCATGTGAGGAAGAGTGATGTATACAGAGACCTATATGGAGTACTGACTACTGAGTCACGAGACAGAATATATGAGCATATCTGACATTGCTTTGAACTTTGAAGAAGTAACTATAATGCATCGAACCACTCATGCGTAGCATTGTTACCTTCCACTCGAAGGGCACTAGCGTAGTGTTTTTTTAATCATGGATATTCCATGAGTTTAAGATACAATAATTATTCACTTCCCTATTTCTCTTGGGAACAGAATCAAACACAGCTTATTTCATGTGTCTTCATTCTCCCCAGGAGGCACACTCCATGATCTACTGAATAAACCCATTACGCTGCTATGTAGCCTTTAATATCCTCCTCTCCCTCGGGAAAAAAAAGGATATGACAATTACATCTTACAAGCTAGGTCACAAAACATGAAATTATAACGAGGCTTCAAATTAAACATTCTATAATATATAGTATCCAGAGATCCTTATGTCATGGAAATTAAATTAAAAAAAGGAAATTACTCTTAAAGAAATTATTTGTCAAACTTCATTTGCAATTTGGCTTCTCAGAGTTTAACTTAAAGATGATATATGATAAATTTGTGATTCCCAGTTCCTTTTTTTGATAGCGAACGTAGAAAATGAACCATATTAATTGTTTGAAAGTTTAAATAATTGACAAGTTGACTTCTAAAACTAAAAGACATTTAAGTCGTGTTGCATTAATAATATTACGAGTTAAAAGTTAAAACCCGATGAAATTTTATCGGTTTTCCAAAATGTCTTGAAGCACTATAGCTGTCATTTTCCAAAAAAGAATTTACTTTTCACCAAAGCCTTCTTTTTTTTTAAAAAAAAAAGTGAAGTGGACTAAGGGAGTTTAAAATATGAATTAGAAAGGATGGAGGCTTACGTGCATGCAAAACCGAATGGGTACGTAGAAAATAGAAATTGATGAGGGAATTACGTGGAAAGCAGATAAAAGGGAGCCTGTGGAGTTGTACTGTGTACGTACCAGAAAGATGCGACCATGAGGAAAGGAGCCATCCCACACCTTTTAGCAATTAGTTACCAGATCTATCTTAACTGTTTTGAAAAAAGAACAAATAATAATCTTGTCAAACCATTAACATCAAGTTAAAAAAATTTTATAATTAAAATTTTTAAACTTAGTACTTGTTCTTTCATATTTACCATACTAAAATCTTTTAAAATTTTTAACTTGATATTAATTTTTTTATGAAGTTGTTACTTATCATTTCTTCTAAATTTTTAACATTTGTGAGCCCTCTAGCTTACATCGTTTGAACTTTTATGTTAAACTGAAGCTCGAGTTTTACATTTTTAAAATTACAAAGTATTGCATTTAATTTAGTTAAAGGTGACAATTATATCAGTGAACAAATATGTTGTGAACTGGAAATAAAAAGACAACATATAAGAAAAACTAATTTAGAATAAAAATTAAAAAATTTCAAGAACCCCAGTCAAATAAATTGACGTTAAATCATAAATTCTCACCTTCCTTCAACATATATGCTATCATGGAAATAAATATATTCCATTCCTAGCACAAACCTCGATTTGCGAAGCACAACTTTCTTTTTTTCCTTTTTTGGTTGAAATAAGTTGAATTGGCTCGCATATTGCTGCAGATATTTTTTTCTCTGCCCAACGGGCTTGCATAAATTACTTAATACCTCAAATGGTCTTCTTCATGCAATTAAGCCAACCAAAAATATTCCAAAAAATCATTTATTAAATTACACTTAATCACCACTTATGATGATGATTATCTAATTGCATAATATTATATTATAGCAATGAATTAGAATGGGAAATACTTTAAAATAATATTTATTAGAGAGGATCTTAGAAATAGTTAATATTTAGAATGATCAAATACCAAAATATAATTTTAAAAATACTATATTGCCCCTAACATATCTCCTATATTTTTTGACTACATCTCACAAGTTGTATTTGACGGTCACTACCAAAAACACATTATATAACAAGGAGATGAAAAACAACAAACTAAAACAAAGCTAAATTAGTCCCTAGGAACCGCAACAAAATAATAATCCAGGTCTAGAGATGGATACAACGCGTTCTTGACAAGAAAAGGGTGGTGATTTCCCCGTATCGGACACGAGATGTTCCGCGAAGGTCATGAGTTGATCCACTATATATATCTTTCCCATGCATGGGTTGGGCCTTTTACATTTTGTTGGATCCACGATTTGGCCAGACTCTATGGTTGGTTCGCCATATCCACACATGAAAACAGTACTGTGAAATAATGTGTGGATTTTTTTTAATTAATGATAGTTTCTTTTAGCAAGGAATGGATCTTATTTAGCGAGGAATAAAGCCCTCGCTAAATGCTGATTTTCTTGTAGTGTGAGCTTGTGATGCAAGTTTTTATATTCTCTCTTTCTCAGCCTGGCGTACATATAGGGTGCGATTTGATGGGGTTCGCCTCACTCATAGGTTCACTTTGCTTGTTTCTTCTTTCCTCGAACTAATATAATATATACGGTCCCATTATAGTATTTATGTATAAAGTCTAAACTAGGTATAAGAAATTAAGATTTGGGAAAAAAAATAAGTAAAATATTCTTGCACACAAGAGATGGTAATAACATTACTTTATGGAGTCATGTATAAACGTCTCAGGCTCTGTGTACTCTCAAGAAAAATTCACAAGTGACATCTAAAATCCTTAAGTCCTTTCTCCAACTTAGCAATTCATTTTCTCTTACTTCCTCTTTATAAGTTATTTTAACAATTTTATTAATACTAATGCAAAAAAGTAAAAAGAATAAAATTGTATAAAATTTTAAATATATTCTCATATAATAAATCTAAAAAATGATATAATGTTATTTTTTTTATGAAGAGTAATTTTAAAAATACATTTTATGTTACTTAAAAAATTATACTGTAATTTATAAATACAACCAAATGAATGTTTTAAAATGTATCTTGTAAATGGCACTGCTTGTTTACTTTCCCTCTTCCAATAAATTAACAAGTAAAAACAGGAAAATGCCCCTTTGGGCAAAAGCAAAGACCCCCGGGTGAATAAAAAAAGAGAAACTAGATGAGGTTTCACATATAACCCATGCATAGAATCCTCCTAGGATTCGAGGTCTCCATCCGCATAAAGCGTCAACCTCAGTCGATCAGAACTACGTTTTCTCAAATGAATCGCTCTGCCCATTCTGACAGATTCGTATCAAAAAAAAAAAAATCAAAAGCTGCTTTCTCCGCTGACAAACAAACTGAAGACCTGGGTATTATCCATTACTTTGTTTGAAACCTTGACTTGCGGTACTCTCCAAGGCCGCTTTTTAATTCCTCCATTAACTTGCAGTAGCAAGATTCCAGATCAGCACATATGAATGAATTATGGGCGTGCACTTATTAACGTTAAAAAAAAAAAAAGGAACACAAGTAATTCAACTGCAGCTCCACACAATGTGGAATCAGGAACGATGTTCTGAAATTAGCGTTTGAGATGCATGAATATTGCGCCGCGGAGTAAGCAGAAGCGTAATTGCAAGCCGCTGATCAGTAAAGCACGATGCGAAGAGGGACAACTAAAACATGAATAGCAGTAGGAATCAAATTGAGGAAGTTTCAAGGAACTGGTATTCGAAGCACTTCAGCTTTGATAATTTTTGTTGGCATTACTGTGTCCCTCGAAAGAGACAAAATAACGTTGTGGTTTTCCTTGCACAGAGCCTTAGCGCAGAACCGTATCCTATGGAAGCCTCTAACGGCATCTTCCCCTGAAAGCTTGATATTTGTATCCATCGTCACTGTATTCATCCCCACCAATAAAGAACTAGAAAATTGAAAATATGCAAGGAACAATTTTTATATATAAAATTTATTTTATATTTTCGAATAACTGTAAAATATAAATATATTGAATATCAATTAACCTTAAATGCATCATCTCTAATTTCTAAAATAAAAACGCGTGGAATGGTATCATCTCTAATTTTCTAAACAAATAAGTTCAGACTGGGGAGGATTCTATAACTCGCACAACAAGGATAAAAACAGAAGCTAAAACACTTTCTCCACAATACTGTATCATCAAAAACTTCTCTTCGGCCGTTACTATTTCTGTTTTCTTCAGAACACTTTTTCCCCCCATTTGAGCGCTGGAATACGGTGGAAAGCGACACTTAGTTGTTAGTATGTTATATTGATAATATCAAGAACAATTTCGATTCCTAATTCTAGTGATGTCGAGGACATTTAGCAGATAGAAGTTGCCAGGACGTAGGTAAAGGTCAATTCCTTGAGTAAAGCCAAACCAGGAGTTTCCTGTGTCTTCTATCATGAGACTCGAACCTTATATACTGCTGCTGGCTCATTGCTTTCCTTTACTTACAGCTACCCAAACATAGAGGTACTAGTATTAACGGTGCTTGCGCGTTCTTTTGATTTCTTGTTTGCGAACAAGAGATTGAGAGAGTGTTCAATGGAAGGAGAATATCAACTTGGGTCTAGGTTTCCCCCTGGATTCAGGTTCCATCCTTCTGATGAAGAACTCATAGTTCATTATTTACGAAATAAAATCACCTCTCGTCCACTTCCAGCATTGATTATTGCAGAAATTGATCTGTACAAGTACAACCCGTGGGAGTTACACAGTTTGTTCTTCTTCTTCACCATCCGCTCCTTGTATCTGCTTGCTATTTTCAAATGACCATTGCTTCTCTGTTACTGTGGCCGGGAAAAAGACGAAACTAAGAATATTTTGCCTTGATATGTGCAGAAAAGGCATTGTTTGGGGAGGATGAATGGTATTTTTTTAGCCCCAGAGAGCGCAAGTACCCGAATGGATTAAGACCAAACAGAGCAGCAGCTTCAGGATATTGGAAGGCCACTGGTACGGACAGGCCTATACTAAGCTCTTCCGGTTCAAAGCGCATAGGAGTGAAGAAAGCTCTGGTTTTTTACACAGGTCGCCCTCCCAGAGGGGCCAAGACAGACTGGATCATGAGTGAATACAGATTGGTTGATACAATCAGTAAAACTTCCAGGTTCAAAGGTTCCATGCGAGTTAAGTGTCTCCTGCATATTTTAAGTTCCTTCATCCTTCTTTCACCAATAATTATTCAATCTGCTTTAATTTTAGGGAGAATCACATTCAAGGACTTATCAGAAAAATTATTTTTAAATAAAAACTAATAACAAGTTTCATTAAAAAAAAAATTATGTTACCATTTTAACAACAATCTGTTTCATATTGATTTTTATCTATGAACAATTTTTTTTAAAGGAGCCTTGGATGTGATTCTCCTTAATTTTAATACAGCTTAAGTTTTCCTCTTTGACTGATATAACAATTTCAGATTATTTCAATTGTCATATAACTCTCTCAATTAATTTTTACCGCTGGAGCTTTCCACTTTGAAATTTCCTTCTGTCTTTCGAATTTGGAATGTGAAATTTGGCATAATATAATTTTGTTGCAGTTTAATGAGTATGTAACATGCGGCAAATGAAAAATTTAGAAATGATATCTAACATAACGACATAAAGGGAAAATAGGAAGAAGCGTCCAAATACTGCAGGACGATATTTTAGGAGATAATTTCAGGATCTGAAAGTTGAGAAAAGATTGTTGCCTGTGTTGTGGGTGCTTGCGAATTAATAAAACTAGTTTATTTTTTTTTAAAATGTCTGAGAACTTGAATAGTAATAGCTCACGGTTCTACGCCTGCTGCTGTCACAGCTGGATGACTGGATGCTTTGTCGGGTTCGACACAAGGGCTACTCATCGAAGAATTCTGGTGAGAGTCAGGAGCGTCATTGTGGACCAAATTCGCAGACAAACCTCGCAGGGCTCGAGGAATTCTCAAGAAACACGGACATTGAAGCCAACATTGTCACAAATCATCTGTACAAAGACTATCGAATCTTGGCCTCTATTCTTGCTGGCAAACCTGTACTTCCCACGGAGAACATGTCAAGTGTGAGCTTTAAAGGCAGCAAAGGAGACAGCCTCAATTCAGTGTGCAGCTACTTCGACGCCTTGAACACAAAATCTAGTGAGGATAATCAATATGAAAATCTCATTTCTTTCAACGGGGACCTTAACGTTGAGAACAAAATAGATCCTTTTACTGCCAAGGTGTTGACGAGAAGTGGCATGAACTTATGTAGTCGAAATCAGTCTCAAGATGGCATCCTCAAGGGGAGTCCACCACCAGATCCTACCATCAATTTTTAAGAACATAACAAATTGGCCTCCACAGGAAGGCACCCACAAGTCACAATGATGAAACTGACTTGAATATTCATAACTCGAAAGAGGATTGTCTTTCAGCGTCCAAACAAAATCGTTACTCTACGTTTCACTGTTCATATTACAACTTCTGGTGTTTACAACACGAGGATGTGATCTCATGCAAAAGTGTTGATAGATTCATGAGTGGACTCCGAAACTCGTCAATTAAAATTGTATTTCATTCTTACGGTGGCACATCGTCTTACTCAGAATTCACATTATCTGGATGCTATATCCAGTGCATAATCCTCAAACCTACAGCGCCTACATATTGTGTTATATCATTGATATATTCTGCCAAATAAAACCAAAACTCAGAAGATGATTCAAGATGAAGTTTGCAATAACGTTATCTTCCCCGCGTAATGAACAAGAGAATCAGGTAAAACAACCCGTCAAGCATGGTAAATTGATTGCTTCAGTCTTATTAATACTAACTTCGGTTTAAAAAAAAAAGGACTAAAAAATAGAAAAGCGAGAAACAGAACATTGGCAGAACAGAGAAAACAGTGCAGCACGGTTGTCCTCTCCTACTGTCTTCAAAATTCACATATATGAAACTTTAATGAAAGAGAAGTGAAATTATCAGGTAAGTTTGCAAGACAATGTTCCATTAACACAAGCTATCCATCAACATCTCGGCACGCACCCAGATTTATGCTAACTCCCAGTGCTGCCAAAACACCTCTGCTCCCTTAATCATGTTGCTTATATATGCATTCAGGGCAAGCACAGACCTCGTCGCCCATTACACTCCAAATGACTAAAAAAAAAAAAAGATCAAAGCTAAAGTTTAGCGTCTTTTTTCTTAAACTTTTGCGGAGATCGTTGGTAAGTATTTCAGCCATGCACACGGGTTTCAGCAAAACAGAAAGCTTCGAAATTTTGACTTGAAAAGCATAACTTCCCAATAAAAGAATAGCCAAGCCAGTAGGATATATGGCTAGAGCAGGCAGCAATTAATGCCAAAATCATTATTAGTATAACAAAACGAAAAGGATGACACAGATCGATTTTCACATAATGGCAGAAAACCGGCTTTCTTCAACAGCAAGGAGATCCAACATCAACAAAATTGACAGCTAGATGGCAGGAAAATTACAAAGAAACGAAGAAAACACAGGTTTCGATGACCAAGTCAAGAACTGAAAATTATGCTTCGGGGCCAGGATCAGAAACTCAAACCCTATGGATCAGACACCACGTTGTCAGATTTTCAATCAAACTGGACCGGCAGATCGACGGTAGAGCTTGCCAAAGACGTGGAGAGCGGTGACAAAACCTATGAAGCAGAGGCTCATGACGAGCACAACGGTGGGCGAAATCTTCAAGCCTGGGGCATCGTCGGTGTAGAATCTCAGCATGTTGGCGGGACCGGAGCCACCAGCGACAGAAGCGGTGCTGTTTCCCCCGGCTCCACCGCCAAGCCGGCGGCGGCGCATGCCAGCGGCAGCAGCGGCGGAGCCACGTGGTGCCATGATTCCGGGTCGCGTGGTCTGGGAATTGGCAGACTGAGATTGGGATGAACCCCTCGCCATGGTCGCCGAGCTGAGAAGATCAACAAGGTTAGGTACAACTTACGAGTGTTTTAAGCAGCGATCGACGGGATGGCCGACTCGGAACGAAAGGACTAGCGTAGAATGACTCTCATAGTCATAGATTGGAAATTTTGTTATTTAAAGTTTGGCTTAATCTTGTTTGGATATTAATTATGTTTGGAAGTATAAATCAAGACCTCTCTTCTAGTTTACTGTCCCCTTTAGTGGTAGTATAGGAAAGAGTATTCCGTATTAGTATAGCAATGCTTTTCCACCTTGTTCGTGGTTGACTCCAGCTTGTTGCTTTTCTGAGCGGCCCTATGTTCGAGCCTACTTCCTAATAGGTAGTTTTCAATAATGCAGCTATACTCTTCATGCCTTTATGCAAAACCCGCATCATGATTTATTGTCGTTCCTTCTCCTTATGTTCTGATGTTTCCATGAATATTGCAAAGAACCTTTGGTTCTTTTTCAGCTACTTATCCATCCGATCTTGAATTTTTCGCAGCACTTCTGCCACAGGTCCATTGAATATGATTAGTAGGTTGGGTTGGCCACCTCCTGACTTGGAGTCAGGGTTCATGCTGCTGCTATTTGTTGTCACCAGCACTACGTGCTCACAATGATCAATTGCTCCAACATTAGGCGATAAGTGTTCTAATCCTACATGCGTAGAGATCTCTTTTGGTCCATAAGAACTAGCACCTATTTCATCAGTCCTTTTATCTTTTCGCGTCTTTGCCATCTTTGTTACACAGGTCTCACCAAGCGTGCCACAAACTGTTTGTGGTTGAACAACAAATACCAGGCATGCCAGAGATGCTGGGTCTCAATAGATAACGAAAAGGATCTTGAGTTCCCTTACCACAGTTCGCTCGAATGTAAAAAGATAATGGACTTTGATAGAACAAGTATGTAATTTTACTAAAGTGTTTGAAAACTACAGACTAAAAACTAAGAACTGAAAAGGGCAAGTAAATGTAAATCATGTAAGTCTTGATCGAGTGTTGACTGTCCTCTCTATTTTCTTCTTCCAATTTATAGTGTCTACTAGCAAAAACCTTTCCTTTGGGACTTAGCACATTCTACCGAAGATTCAGGAATCTCGCGAAACTCATGGCACGATCTCTCCATCAGCCTGTTCACCGAACTACTTGGGCGTAGATTTCAACATCATTTAGGATCGTGTCTTTGTGGCAACAGTCTGATATTTGAAGCTGATAGGATTTCGGCATGTTTACGTGTTGTGGATTTTGATGAGCATCGAGGCCGGCCTCTTTTGTTTATATTGGCCCTAACGTTTCAATTACTCAGCCTAACTAGCCTCATGACCTATTTAAGTAATGTTTCATATTTAGCCCAAACACACCTACATCTATGAAACTTAAAGAGAACGTTGCACATCCTAACCACAATAATAACGATGTTATTCCTTTCTTGCTTTTTTTTTTTAAATTTTTACCAATGCAATAACATTACTCTAAAAGTTTCAAAGGAAGTTATTGAACGGAGCCATAATATTTAAATTACCACTCAATACATATCTATAAATCAAAATAAGGTGGACATTTAAGAAGGAAGGCAAGAGAAGATGATCCGGTGACTACTTACACGGATTATCTTGGGGAAAATGTTAGAAAATCCACCTAATATAGATATCATGGTTGCAAGTGTGAAACTATAACTAAAATGAATGGAGAGCGATTGCTTATAAAAGAAATGATAAAAATAGAGATAGTGCAACAAGGCCATAGTATTGAAGGAACAATAATTAAGATTTCGACACCTGACACAATCTCCTCAACAACAATGTACTTTATAGCCCTGTTTGGTATGTAGGCTTCAATTTAGAAGGATTAGGATTGGGACTGGTGTTGGTATTGGTAGTGGGAGTGGGAGTGGGAATAAGACTTTAAAATTATGTTTGGTATGAAGTAATATGTGTAGAGAATACTTGCTTTTATTTTATTTTACAATTAAACATAAATTATGAATAGACTATAATACTCCTTACATTAAAAAAAATAAACCTAACTTGTAAGGTCCAGAAGCAGTCAAATGCAGCAGATCACCATGGCAGCGCAGCTTCAGTTTTAGGTTCGAATACGGCGGATCTAGAAGAAGTCGACAACGTCTCCGATTCTGATCTTTCCTCTTCCTCCATCTCCTTCTTCATTGATGTGTTGCGTCTCTCTGAATTTTATTTTTCCTCCTTCACCTGCGTCTCTTCCTCCTCCGCAATTTCTTACCTCGCCTCCTCAGAACATATCGGAGCATTGAGGCAGCGTACAGATTGGAGCTTGAGAAGAGGATTGCGTGGCAGCTGGACGAAGTGTATAGATCAGAACATACAAATCGAAGCTTGTGATTGTGTTGCACGAAGAGAAGAGACGCGAGAGAGAGATGGGTGAGAGCAATTTGGTCCAAATATTTTCATTCCCAATAATGATTTTTCAAACCCAGAGGGTGGGTGGTACTGAATAATCCAATATAAGGTGGGATTGGGATTGAATTTAGATTACTTAATGACTCATACTAAACATAAAAAGTTAGGTTTTCTTAATTCCAATACCAGTCCCTAGCTTTCAATCTCATGTACCAAACAGGGCCTATATGTTAGCAGCGGGGATTTTGATATAAAATATACCATCTTGGCGGCTATTGAAAGCCGTGGACAATGTACGCTACTTGTGTTTGTATAGGAGTAAAACATGCATAATGGAAGGAAAAGAATTTAGTAAAAGAAAACGTCCTACAAAAAATCATTGATCAAATGGAGTAGAGTAGTCACGATGAACCCCCTTATCCTGGCCTATGTAACCCATTTCCAAGCGGTGGTGACAAGATGATGAACTATCATCGTTGCTGCTATGTTGCTAGGAAGAGGAATTCCCTTCGGTGCGTGGTGACGTGACAAGCTCACGGGACTCATGGGTCTGCCTATCAATGGAGTCACCGATGACGACGACCCCTGCTTCTCTCTTATGCGCTTCTTAGCACTTAGGTGCATGCTCCTCAGTGCCATTGCCACTTTCTCATCGAATATCATTGGCCTCATCGTCGAACCCGTCTATTTAATTCAACACACAGATGTAGATGTACTTGTGATTCGTAATTCAATCATTTATATACACAGTATGTTACGTTGAATCATTGATTGATATACTTGTGTGACGAGAGAGTAGAGAGGAAGAGTGACGTAGCTGCACAGGATCTGAACAAACACCCTGCACATTACCAAAGTGTTTATGATCTCTGCAATTCACTTAGATTCAGAGAGATGATTATGAATTAGAGGAGCTGAGGCTGATCACTCACCCCATCGAGATTCTCACGACCACATCCACCATTTGCGAATGGAAACAAGACTTGAGACCGAATTGCCACTACACTGAATAATAATATAAATGTGTATCAAACCTTGCAAAAACAAAAGGATGGAGAAGCAATTGGGAGAATGAACAAAGCCATTTTGATGTTTGAGGACTAACCACGGTCTATACGAAGAAAGCAAGTTGAAAGGCGTTCTGTTTTGAGAAAGAAATTAACGCCCTTGATCATAAATATATACTAATTGATATATGAAAGGAATGAAGTTCTTGGGTTTAGGAAAATACCTGAAAAAGCACAAAATTAATGAGGTAGAGGATGAGACGAGGTCGCTTCAACCAGAAGAGGTCATCTCCTGGCTTTACCACCGGCTCCCCCTTCACCACTTCTCCCCTCTGTTGAATTCCCTGGGCCATTTTTGTTATGATCACCTGCAGCTTCGTTCCTACCAGTAAAATGATTTGAATCCACACATTATTAAACTCTATCATTATTATATCACTACTGCTTGCACCAGATTAAAGAATTAGCAATTACTATATTGACCTAGGACTTGTGCTCACAATTAGAGGGATGAACGGAAACCATAGATAAGAGTACTATCCTATTTATAGACAAGTCAGATACATTTATCGAGCTCTCCTCTTTTCTTTTGGAAAATATGCACCTACAAAGACAAACAAAGTAGATTTTGCGAGTATGCTGTGCATAACTTACCGTGAGTGTTACACAGGAGAAAGAACACGGCAAAAAACTAGAATGGAGGACTGCAAATTATAAGCAGTGTAACATATAGTTAATCGCAATGTTGCTCATTTGTGGAGGACTACTTAAATACTCTTCAGATGCGAGGCTATTTGCTCTGTAGTTACAGACCTAATTCCCACGATGAACTTGAAATCCTCTTCCAGCGATCTCTATATATATTTCCTAAAATAGAACTTCTCGTGATTTTGAGGCGCCAGATGTGCCTAAATTAATCATCGTTGCCCAATAACAACGTCATTTGTAAACGTCCAAATCATGCGCGTAAAATAAAATTAGTATCTGAAGGGGAAATACCATAATAAAGCCATGTCTCAAGGTCAAGTAATCCACTTTAGGAACAGACCTTACAAACTACCTGAAGAAACAGACCTGAAATGAAAAGAGTAGCCAGTCAGCGCACAAAAACTCAAGTGCCTTCTTCCAAAGGAGATAAATTAGAAGAGTATATATTGGCTCAATTACAATCCAAAGGAGAACAGGAGTTTAGGCCCAGAAACTCAAATGCCTTCTCCCAAAGGATGTCTCTCTTGCAAATCTGTATCTCTCAGGATCTGTCATGCGCACAAAGATACATATATATATATATATATATATATAAGAATTCCACCTAAAAAAATTCTAATTTGTTGATGCACATAAATTAAAGAAGACTAACTGTGTGAGGATTGGTACTCAGGCGTCTTCGTTTCTTCTTCCCATCGCTTCCACATCCCCATCTATATATATAACCAAAACATATGTTGCAATACCAACAAACTAAATAAGTGACTTAGAGACGGCGTGAAGTGCGTAATTGTTATAAATACATTCACACAAGAGTAGGTTGCTTTTCACCTTCAATCTACCCAGAGCCAGAGTGATTAAGCAGCAAAGGACATGAAAACCAGCCCACATGAATATAAATATATGGAGCTGATGAATGCCCTCATGTGAGACCAGAGGCACTTTAACCTACACGTTATATTTTTAATATCATTATATTCTAATAAATGAATTCTATGTGCATACTGTATAGATAGCATGCAAATGAAAACTCT